AATCACATAAAGCACCAAAATAAATTCCAGAGGGAGTTCAATATAAAAGAAGCATTCATTTAAGAACAAGAAGATTATATTAATAAATATTTATGACTCTTTTGATGGAGAAAGAGATAGCAACAAAAAAGATTTTTCAAAACCCAAGAATAAATGTAATAAGAAATGAGTGAGATCTTTATGAGAAAAAAATGGAAAATGCTACTAGAAGACATAAAAGGGGACTTATGAAGAAACATACCCTGTTTTTAAAATTGAGGTATTTTATATTATTATAAAAATCACTTTTCCTTAAGTTAATCTGTACATTTAATACTATCTCACTAAAAACACAATCATGAATTTTAAATAGCCAAGGTGACATGAAAGTTTATATTGTAAAATAAACACAAAGAGCAATCAAAAAAATTCTAACCATAGGTGAGTAATAATGGAGGACCTTGGTCTGTTTCATATTAAAACATATTACGAGGGTTTATAATTGTTGAGATGGTTCTTGGTGTAACCAAAATCAGGTTTGGGCCACTTGTCACTTGAAAGCTAAAAACTCAAGAGATGAGCTTTGGTGAAAGGAAGGTTAGCTTTATTGGAGAAGCCAGCAACACAGGGGAGGCAATAAACTAGCGTTCAAAGACCACCTCACTGACTTGAGTCTCTGGATCAGGGAAATTAGAGGAAATAATGATCAAAGCATTTTTATGAAACTCACACAGTCTCAGGTAGGCAGTTAGTCAATATTCTGGGGCCTTCTGCAGATGTCATCTGCCCTGTTCTTACCAGGCTGGTCAGCCCGTTCCCAGAGTTGTTGGTCAGTGTATTGTCTTTTATTTTTGCCGAAGGTCCTGTTCTCCTGAAACTGATTTTAGTGAATAATCTACCAACTCAAGCAAAACAATAATTGCATTCAAGCAAACAAACTTTTCTCTAACATGGTAGCAGTAGTGTTACCTTGGCAGATATTTGGAGTACGGGAGCTGCCTGTGGAAAGAGGCGTCACTGTGAAAGGTCCCAGGCTCTCCAGAGCACCTGCTGGGCACACAGAACTGAAACCGAAATTTAAAAAAAAATTCTTTTCCCGGTTATATCGAGGCATACTTGACATATTAAAGTTGTCTCAATTCAGAGTGTATAACATAATGTGTTGATTTACATACACATGGTGAAATGATGTCTACAATCAAACTAATTCACATATTCACCTCACATAGTTACTTTTTTGTGTGATGAAAACAATTAAGATCAACTCTTTTAGCAAATTTCAAATATACAATGCAGTATTATTATTATTATTATTTTATTTATTTTCTGAGATGAAGTTTTGCTCTTGTCACCCAGGCTGGAGTGCAATAGTGCAATCTCAGCTCACCGAACCTCCGCCTCACAGGTTCCAGTGATTCTCCTGCCTCAGCCTCCCGAGTAGCTGGGATTACAGGCACCCGCCACCATGCCCAGCTGCTTTTTTGTATTTTTAGTAGAGATGGGGTTTCACCATGTTGGCCAGGCTGGTCTTGAACTCCTGATCTCAGGTGATCTGCCCACCTTGGCCTCCCAAAGTACTGGGATTCCAGGAGTGAGCCACCGTGCCTGGCCACAATGCAGTGTTATTAACTGTGACCATGCTGTACATTAGGTCTCTAGAACTTCTTTATCCTGCGTAGCAGACCTTTGCACCCTTTGACCAACATCTCTTCATTCCCCCACCCCTAGCAAACACCATTCTACTCTCTGCTTTTATACATTTGGCTTTTTCAGATTCTACATCTAAGTGAGATCACCATGCAGTATTTGCCTTTCTGTCTCTGGCTTCACTTAGCATAATGTCCTCCAGGTTCATTTAAAAAAAAAAAAAGAATTAAGGACCTGAATAGATAATCCTCAAAAGAAGACGTACAAACGGGCAACGGGTATCTGAAAAGGTACTCGACATCACTAGTCATCGGGGAAATGCAAATCAAAGCCCAAATGAGATATCACCTCACACCTGTTTGAATGGCTATTATTACACAGACAAAAGATAACAAGCTGGCGAGAATGTGGAAAAAGGGATCCCCTGTCCACTGTTGGTGGGAATGTAAATTGGTGCAGCCATTATGGAAAACAGTATAGAGTTTCCTCAAAAAATTAAAGAGAAAACTACCAGATGATCTAGCAATCCCACTTATGGGTACAAGGAAATGAAATCAGCATATGGAAGAAATATTTGCACCTCTATGTTCTGTTCAGCGCTATGATCAGCACTATTTGCAATAGTCAAGATGTGGAAACAATCTAAATGCCCATCAACAGATGAATGAATAAAGAAAATGTCACACACACACACAGGCACACACAATGTTTTATATATATATATATACACACACATATACAGAGAGAGAGAGAGAGAGAGAGACTCACTCTGGTTTTTTATTTATTTGTTTGTTTATTTATTTTATTTTAAGACAGAGTCTCACTCTCACCCAGGCTGGAGTGCAGTGGTGCAATCTTGGCTCACTGCAAGCTCCGCGCCGACGCTTAACTTTTTCATATTTTAAGCGTCAGCGCGGGGTTTCCAACACCGGCGTCGTCTGGCGGCCAGGACAAGTCCCCTCATTTCCTGCCCCTCGTGTCGCCCCGCCTTCGCCTCCCCAAAGTGCTGCGCGGATTAACGGCTGTGAGCTCAACGCGCCTCTGGCCACCGCGAAATGTAACTATTACTCGTAGTCTTAAAAACGAAGCGAATCATCGCCCATTTTGTTAAAGACATGGACTGACCTGCTGGCACACGCGAACATTATCTCTTGCTCGTCACATCGGCAATTTTCTATCCTTACCCCGCCGCAACACTTCGCCGCGCCTGAGGTGTTGACTCCAGACGTTCTCCTATGCTGTCGCGTTTCACCAAGCAGCCTGCCTCACGCTCCGGCACATCACGCTTTTTAGAATCACGAGAATTCGGCCGTAGCCCCTGCTGTGGACGCAGCATCACATTACTTAGTGAAGCTTATGACGAAAATATCAGAGAATCTCAACCCCTCTTCAGACCCTGACAATAGGGAATCCGCAATTTTAACAAATCCATGCGGGATTTGTTATAGAACACTCAAAGTTTAAGAAGTGATTACTAGACTAAACCTGTTGATCAGTGAAATAAAATTACCTATTCTTCCCACAACTTATTTTAGCTGAACTAAGGCTTATTTTAAAAGTGTGGCTGGGCATGGTGGCTCACAGACCTGTCATCCCACAACGTTGGGAGGCTGAAGTGGGGCGGATCAACGAGGTCAGGAAGCTCCTCCCAGGTACGTCGCCTGAACCAACATGGTGGAAACCCCCATCTCTATAAAAATACCAAAAAAAAACAAAAAATAGCCTGAATGTGGTGTGGCAGGGTGCCTTAAAACATCCCAGCTACTCGGGAGGCTGAAAGCCCAGGAGAAATCACTTTGAACCCAGGAAATGGAAGGTTTGCAGTGAGCCCAAGTCGGCACCGTTGCAACTCCAGGCCTGCGGTGCAAGAGCAGCACTCACTCCTGTCTC